CTACGCCATCAATAATCATACAGCCAAGGCTAAGGAAACGCATGGCGCTACAGAAGAGGTATTACGATTGCGGCAGTAAACCTCTGTGCTCACTCAGATCAGGAGACACGGTTTGGATACAATCACTGGAGCCAACGGAGAAGGTGTGGGCGAAGGGAGAAGTGATAGCGCGAGCAACAAAAAATCGTACCTAGTACGCTGTGGTCAACGAATAATACGGAAAAATAGAGTTCATTTGAGGAAAGGAGAAGAGAATGGTGACGAAGACGAAGAAAGAGGCGATCCAAATACCGTTCAGGAGGATGTAGAAATCTGTGTACAAGATCCGCAGCAAGNNNNGTTAGTTTTACTGCATCAATTGTGTTTTTATGATTGGTCCGCGGAAGACTTTAATTTTGCCCGTTGAACAATCTGATTGGTTCAGGGTTATATATAAACGCCTGTGATTCCCTTACCAAATGTGATTCGTGCCCAGTGGACTAGAGAAAATATATCGAGAGCATTTCCTGAAGAACTGACTTTTGACAATATGCATCTCGCAACCCGAATTCATGCACATTTATACCACCTCTCACCTGCTCCACTTTCATGAGGAATTGTACTTGCATAATCAGTGTTGGAAACGGATGAAATATTGTTGCGCAATCCGCTCATTTTTGTTCCCCAAAATGGAATTAAGAAACACCCGGGGCTTCTTGTCGACTATTTAATGATGTGATCGTTGTTACGAGTAAGGGGGCTCTAAGCCACAGCATTGAAAAGCACATTAGAACAAGAGGAAGAGGTTAAGAATACGTAAAAAGGGAATAATAACGAAATTCAGAATATCTAAATACTCGTTTTATTGTCACCGTGTAGAAAAACATAAGGCAAGAGATGGACCTGGAAAAGACACGCACAAATCGCTGTGCATTCACATTCGAGTATGGGCGANACACCAGAAAGGATCCCAGCAGAATGGTGGCTCATTTCAGACAAGGGGAAAAGGAATTTAGCCCAATTTGCGCAGGCTGGGGGGGGGGTTACAGAAGACATAAGGAGAATATCATTGATAAGTTTCGTCGGAGTGGGGTGGGTGTGGTGTGCGTTTAAGTGAGTAGAAAAGCATTATCGAGCCAGAAATGTTTAAATTCGACAAGAGGAACAGCATGGAATAAATCGAAGACGTGTCCTAAAGGGTGGCAGAAACGATGACCAATTTTGTGGGTGAGCGGTGGGGGGTGATTACCCCCAGTGTGAACAGTGTGGTATTGCTCAGCAAGAAACGAGGTCCATTAGTTCGCACTAGGGACTCGACTTGTTAGTCCAAACGTTTCTTCAATCTCGTGGCTATTGCGTCCAAGAAATCCATTGTGTTCAAATAGTGCTCCGGTTTGACATTTTTAGCACCGTGGATACAGATAGCTAAATCCTTGGTCATGCTCCCGGATTCGACAGTCTCAATACATGTTTTCTCCAAATGGTGGCAGAATCTGCACAAGAACAAATAAGAGCAAAAGTAAACCTCGATCAGTCCTCGTTTCGATAAGATAACGGACAAAAGAGCAACAACAAGAGTACAGTTGGAGTATTGACCACGAGAACACCACAGTTGATAATACTGGATTGAGTCACATAGTCACACATAGTTTTGATTAAACGCACTGTTGAACAATCTCATAAAATTTACACGAATATTAAAA